GATGGTTTCGTTGTAACTATCGTCTGGTAAGACTAAGATAATTGCCTCTTTGAAAAGGAATTGCTGAGGCAAGCTGATGACGGATTTGACTCTTTGGCGAGCGCAAATACCAGCTTACATCGAAACGGATGAGTGAATCACGGAGAGGATGCTTCTCTCATTAATTCGAAATTTCAGAAGAAATAATTGTTGTTTGGAATGCAAATGTATCACTGATAGACAAAATTACTCACCCACTTGCTTCATTCGATGACAGATGAAAGGGGAGAATTTCAATAAATGAGAGGGCAGGATTTCAATAAATGAGGGCAGATTGTTGCCGAACGATCATTTTACTAATCTTTGACAATACTGAGCAGCACACTGACTACTGACTGCCAATAGCTATGTCGGGAGGAAGGTAACAAAAGTTATTTTGTAACAGTCGTGAAGTCCGTCAAAATCGAACTGTGTGAAACGAGTTAAGGGCAAATTATCATGGAGAGGGGAATTGGTTCCCCTCTGGCCGAAGGAGAGGTCGAAATCGGTATAAAAAGATTTTTTGGGGATATAAAACTGGGGATATAAAAGATTTTTTAAACAGTTTTTCAACAAATTCGGTATTTATTACCCTCCGAATACTTCAGTGTGCACCTTTTTTAACAGAGAAGACATACGATGGGTGTTTCGACTTTTGACTTCCATATGTACGAGAAATACTGTTCTCTACTTCGAAACTCTCAAAATGTCTTTCTCTGCGGAAAGTATTGAAGATATTATGAAATATATAAAATTGTATTAAAGAATCATAGCTTTAATAGTGGGCATGGGACAAAGAGTCCATGCACGTTCGTTTGCGAAAATTGTTTATGGATTGGTTTTTTTAAACAACATGCTTTTCAATAAATAGATTTCTGGCCGACCTTAATGAAAAAAAAAAAACAATTTCTTTTCAAGATGAACGACACCGGATGTTTTTTTTATGGAGATTAAAGTAAAATGGAATCATCAGCAATTAGCTCCCTAGTCTATGTCTGTGTCGTTTATAATTTTTGCAGGAGCAATTTACTGGAATATGCCGCTCGGGAATGTGAGAACTGTAGCAAGGAGGTAATAGAACTGATGCAGGGGCACTTGGGAATAAGAAAAAATTCAACAGAAAAAGCAGCTGGTCTTTGCGATGTAAATTTTTGGTAAGTTCTTAAAAAGAGGTGGATATGTGAAAACCAATCTGTCATATGGAACGATCATCAGAATCACTAGCAGAATTGTCAGCAGGCAATGCATTTTCACTTAGAGCAACCAAAGGGACAGCGAGGGCTACCCTGGTGGTTTGAAAATACAGAATGAGGGAGGAAAATCTAATCAAAGGGGAAGGAAGAGTGCTGTTTTCTCTCTTCACAGAGATTTGTGGAATTATCGGGCGTGAACTACGGCTGTTGATATTTTTGCAGTCATGTCCTATTTCCTTGTGCAGTGGTACTAAAATTCAGCAAGATACCTCAACATGATCTAAACATCAAGACGAGACAACATGCACACCAGTGGCATTCCGAAAAGACTAGAGCCTTGCAATGTGTTTTTGTCTGGAGTACCGTTGAACTGGTTATCACCTCAAAAAGCGAAACGAAAGCCAGGATCGTCAATACACTGACCACCATGCGATGCGGTATTGATCAAAGCAACTAAAAAACTGTCAGATACAAAACTAAAGGACCAGATTACGAAATTAACAGCTAATCCAAGTAAAAAAAAACAAAAAGCTACACTATTAGGAAAATGCTTAATAGTGTTGCGCTCAACAGAACATAAAAGTCAGGAAAACTTTGTTAATTTATTAATATCAGAGTCTGGAAAATTTCATAAAAACTCAAAAACTCGATTTAACTTTATTAGTGTGACAAAATTTGCTGACAAAGAACCTAAGAAAGTTCAACAAAGTTTGAAACTTTGAAAACTGTTTCTGATTATAATTCAATACCACAGTAACGCTAACTTCATTTTTCTGACAGCGCGCCATCATCAGCAAGTGAAAACGACCAGTCAAGGATCACAACTGAATATAATCAGAAGTCTGATGAAATTTAACTCAAAAATTCAGGCTATATCAAGGCGGAATGCTGGAGAAAATCTTCTGATGGGAATTTGCGGCAAATTTACTCAATTACTGATTATGTTTGATTACTGATGTTACCATTTTAGCAGCGTCTTCAAGAGTGATAAAATTTTTTAAAACCTGGAGAAGCTTTGAAGATTTTTGTAAGCAAATTTTTATGACAGTCATGATGCTAACGAAAGCAGATCCGTATCTACACCTATTCTTTCAGTCACGTTGGGATGAACAAAATGTTCGTATTTGTAGGTGTCGCTAGTGGGAGTTTTAATCCTATGTCTTTATTTTTTATTAGCAGTGCAGCATGAGTGATAGTAGAACATGTATTTCCTTTTGGGGGGAAAATGTCTCTTTACGTTCCAGATAAAATACTGTGTATAATAAAAAGAAATATCGGTACCGTTTCTGCTAATAACTACATTTAGGCTGAAACTGCTACAGCCACGTAAAACTATTCCATCGAAAGTCAGCAAACACGATATCGCTAAGACCGCTCGGACAAACAAATATGTAGTCCTCGGTGATGTCGAGGTGTACAGGCAGACACAAATATATATTATATGCCCGTACACCACACACCTATTTACATGCAGGCACACACATACATACTACAGTAAAAATGCGACCGAGTTGCGTGTGCGTGTTGTGAGTGCCGTCTGGATAAAAGAGCTAACTTTACGAAATACGTGCGACGGTGTGTGAACAGCCATGTATTCAGAGGAAGGTGTTAAGACTGCGTGAACGATAAGGGCAGTGTGGCGTGTGCTTCCGAATGGGGCTTTTGATGATGATGATGTGGCATGGGTCTAGACGTGGGTAGGAGGAAAGGACGAAGCAGGATGTCGAACAGGGCCGGAAACGAAACGAAGGCCCAGAGTGACAGAAAAAGGTGTTTAAGCAAGGAAGACTGGTACTATCCCTGGAAGCTAAGGAATGTGGGCCGTTCCGGTAGGATGAAAGATGGCATCAGACAGGAGCCCCATGAAAATAAGTTGTTGGAAAATGGAAATAAAAATACGAAATGTCTATCTGTATTTGTAATACAAGCACACACAAGTACAGACCCTGTCGTGAAAATTTTCAACTAAACCAAAATTGTCACGCGGGACTTAAATTTCTCTTTTTTTTCTGCAGATACTTTTTCACAAACAGCCGAGGTACCACCAATTCTGATAGCAACAGCGTCGATTAATCGAATCTCCAGAAATCAGTAATCACTTTATATTCAATTATCAGAATACAATACAGTACCATTTCCACTTACACCAATAAGCGAACCTCAAGTTTAGGTTATTAAACCTTTTTCAACAATCTTTAACATCCAATAATATCACCGAGAAGCGAAGAAAATTATACTAATTAAACCGCATTATTATTTTTTAAAAAAAAAACAAGACCAAAATAAAAAAGGAACAAAAAAGAACGGATTAAGGCTCGCCGCGCTGCTTATTTTCTGCATAAAAAGATAATATGAGCAAGATTCTGGGAAAACGAAAGCATAACGACGGTGCTGTGGGAGCAGAGGTCAACCATACCTTACCCCTACTGTGCCGACCTCAGAGGTCAGCCACGCCATTCAAAATCCTTCCACCAATAATAACAAATTACATCACATTAGTCTCTTCACTTTGCGACATTATTCGCAACTTCGTCGTAGTCTTATGAGGCGTTAAAACTGGTTGGTATGGAAGATAATACACTATGCCTTCGGATTCATTCCCTCTATCTTCTGTAATACCTGCCTGCAGCTGCATTTGGAATATGTTATATCCTACTGTTGAAGTTTTCCTGGAATTATACGCAAACTTCTCAGTGTAGACCTCAGCCGTCCGAGGGCCAGGCCGAAATTATTTTTCAAATTAGGAACCGGCGTCTTTCATGGCCAACCAATACTGTATCTTCCCTCTACTCTTTTTACACTCTCTCTAAATTGTTGCACAGCAAGTTGGTCGTCACATTCTTCTTGTTTTAGATCGATTCCGATGGTTTCTAGTGCCTAGCAATCTTCTTTGTCACGCTTTTCCCATTTTCTAGTTATTCCTACTATAACAGTGTCGACGTGATTACTCTCATTTCCGTTTCTTTCAAATATTGACAGAGGGCCACTTCCTGCTAGTATAAATCCCATTGCAGTTCTCACTAGCCTGAACCCACACGGCAAATCACGAGTTTCCGCCAAATTTAAAAACTGAAAAGCATATTAGATGCCTATTAAAATTTGCGGTTCACACCTGATTGATGGAAGAAGCGGAAGATTTTGACTTTGCAACAGTTTTCCAGTGAGAGTGTTCCAAACCCTAATCATTCTGAGACTACTGTTACGTGTGTATCGTGTTGCAGGTAACTTCTTTGATTTTTCCATTTTCCAATTCTATCGCAATTTTTACCTTCCTACTGTCACATTCTTTTGTCAGCCTCTCGCCAAATCCGGACACAGTCAAGCATTCTTAGGATTCGCCACGTAGTTGTAGCTCTTACTTAGGCTCTTGGTTATGAACGACTTTTGGCTGTCCAAGTCGAACAACAGAGATGCTAAGCATGTCTTGTTCCTCCCACGAAAATTTCTCACCGTTACCATTTTAATCATGAGAAGAACGGTTTGTTCGGACTGAGGATGTGGATTGTTTTCGACTTGCCGGATCTTTGATTCTGCTATACTGGATACGGTCAGAGATTCATTATTTTGTACTGCTGAATCAACATCTGTACCGGCAATATGGACTTGCGTTTCTCCTTCACTCCTGAAAACTTCGTGACACAGAGCCGTATGATGTCTTCCCTTGCACGAATAGCAAGGACGCAGCTTGATTTTACATCCTTTTGCTCAATGCTCCTTTTGCAAGCATTTGTAGCAGAGCTGGAGCTCTTTAATTTTCTCTCTCCTACTGTCGAAAAGATGCATCTTCTCGAGAAGCATGACTCGTGCAGTTTATTCCAAATCCAAAAATGTATATGTTCTGTGTGTGTAAAGTGCACATAAAGTGCATATGCACTTTACCTTTGTTGTGTCTAGCGACGACGGGAGACGGCGAGGCGCACTGACCAAGCCCTTCGGCCAGCGCTTATTCAGCGAGGAAACGGCAACGAGGAGCGGCGGCGAGGACGACAACCGGCAACAGCGGACGAGCAACGAGGAACAAGGACGGCGATCAACAGGATCGACACAGGACGTCAACTGCAACCTCAACCCGATTTTTTTAGTTTTACATTTCGATTTGTATAATGTTATGTTATTTTGTCACGTGTTCGCGCTTGTATACGGGTTACGTTACGCTCGATTTCTTATCATTTCTTAATAAAGGTTATATTACCCAAATTTGAGTTTGAGGGTATAAGGACGATACGAGCCGACGAATCGAGCTCAAGGAATCAAACGAACCGACGGATCGTGCTCGCCAAAACGAAGTGAACAAGGAGCCCAGGAGCTGCATTCGTCAAAAATCAAAGGAGGGCCGACGTATTGCGCCCAATTAAGGGACTTGGGCTGCTGTTACTGCAGGCCATTCTGTCGGCTTAGAACTTTATTTATTTAGTATAAATTCTTTGGAGCGGACAACCAAAAGAGCTGTCGTGGCAAGAAACATCAAGCGAAGAAAAAGTACTACTGTCCACGACACCTACTGTCA